CGCGCCCGCCGCGCCGCGGCTCCCTGGGAAATGTAGTCCCGGCGCCGCCGCGCGCCGCGCTGCGCCGCTTCGTGCCAGTCTGTACCGGTCTGCGCCGGTGCACACCGCTCTGCAGCGGTTCGTGCCAGTCTGTACTGGTCAGCACCGGTTTGGGCCTCTCCATGCCGTTGTGCGCCGGTTCATGCCGGTCTGTACCGGTTCGTGCCCCTCTGTACCAGTCTGCACCGGTTGGCAGGAAGCTGTACCAGTCTGCGCTAGTTCACACCGTTCTGCACTGCTATGCGCTGGTTCATGCCAGTCTGTACCGGTCTGCGCTGGTTCACACCGCTTTGCACCGGTTCACGCCTCTCCGTACCGGTCTGCGTCGGTTCGTGCCGGTCGGTACTGGTCAGCACCGGTTTGGGCCTCTCCATGCCGTTGTGCGCCGGTTCATGCCGGTCTGTACCGGTTCGTGCCCCTCTGTACCAGTCTGCACCGGTTGGCAGGAAGCTGTACCAGTCTGCGCTAGTTCACACCGTTCTGCACTGCTATGCGCTGGTTCATGCCAGTCTGTACCGGTCTGCGCTGGTTCACACCGCTTTGCACCGGTTCACGCCTCTCCGTACCGGTCTGCGTCGGTTCGTGCCGGTCGGTACTGGTCAGCACCGGTTTGGGCCTCTCCATGCCGCTCTGTGCCAGTTCATGCCAGTCTGTACCGGTTCGTGCCCCTCTACACCAGTCCGCACCGGTTGGCACGAGGCTGTACCAGTCTGCACTAGTTCACACCGTTCTGCACCGCTCTGCGCCGGTTCGTGCCTCTCTGTACCCGTCTGTGCTGGTTCACACCAGTCTGTACCCTCGTGCGCTGGTTCATACCAGTCTGCACCAGCCTTAGTGGGCACCGTGAGCACCCCTGTTCCTGGCCACCCGCCCTTATGTTCTCAAGTTCAGCCTGGACAAGCGAGTTCAGTGCCCCTTGCCCGCAGCCACTTCGTGGTTCACATACAGCCACCCAGTTTCACCGTGGGTTTGTAGCATCACTTGGTGCTGCAAGCTATGGCGGCTCTATCAGTGACCGAGTCCTCCATACTGCGGTGTGGGCTCCTCCTGCCCCTCTGCGGGCTCTCTCCTGTGCATGGCCATCCTTGAGGACATACTGAGGCCTTGGCGCCATGTTGCACCCACTGCTTACCTTGCAGAGACGGAGGACATCATGGGTGCGTGAACTCCAGAAAGCCATTTCATAAGATGTTTCTGTCATGGTTATTCCCAGCAGTTTTCAGGCTGAACCTGAGCCCGCTTTCCAGGTCTCCTCTGTCCATTGGCTTTGTCCCATATTCTCCCACTCACACTGGAAGATTTTCCTGGGAGAAGGAAAAGGTGCAGAAAAAAGCATGGGTAACTTCAATCTTTCTTCACCTATTATCTTTATCCTGTCCATCTCTGACAGGCCACACATTTCTTGTAAATCCAAAAAATGAAGGAGATTAGAGATAGAGCAAATAAGCATTGAGTTTACTTCAACATCTCCCAAATCCTGTGCCAAGCAGCCCATCACTCCAAAGATCTGTCCTGAGATATTTGTTGTCAGCAAGAGTTTTGGGTTGCACCTTTCCTAGGTTCATTGCAAAGTCTCAAAACAGTTTCGAAGATTTTTCTCCTTCAAAAATACCTCTGTCTTGCTTTCATAACAAATACTGACCTACCCAGAGAGTCTGTGAGTTCCTTCATTCATGTCACCACTAAAATGAAGAGGACAGCACAAGAGGGACTGAGTATGCACAGGCATATGGAGAAAGGGTGTGAAAATATTTTCACATTTTCTTTGTTACCACAAGTTATTGCAGCTAATGAATATTATTTAAGACTGATTGCTTTTGCAAAATAAATGTCTATTAGTTCAAATTAGGGTGCAAGAACATGCAGTGTGCAAATGAATAAACCCCATGTATTCTGACGTTCTCAAAATATCTCTAGTAATTAAAAAAATGAGATCTTTCTTATTTATTCTATGAAGGAAAACTAAATCCTATACAGGACAACCTTAAGCCCTAACATTTTCCTGCAACCTTCTATTACCAGCTTTGCCCTGAAGCTCTCACTTGTTCTTTGTTCTCATAAGCATTTGAACTATTATCCTTTGTGTTGTATATGAGGCAAGTTACAAGCTCCCTGGAGCAGCACCCTTGTCTTTCATGTGTCTGTGCATACTTACAATGTGTTATAAATAACAACGATGGTAAGGATGTGCTGATATTTCCAACTGCTCTACAACCACACACCAGTATCCATGTATTGGGTGAAACCAGCAGATATTCAGGCACTCTCTGTCAGGGTAATAGGGTGTTGCAGGTTTCACAGTTTTCAAATATATGTTATACACGGAGACCTTCGGACTTTTTTTTTCTCAGCAACACCACATAAATGTTTGTGATTTTTCTGACATTTTGTTTCAAGTTCATGTATTTAACTATTCAAGCAGGAAAAGTGGCAATACTTGAAGATTAGTTGTTGTAATCATCCAGTTAATGCATGGGTATAGGGTTTCTTTCTTAGTTAGAATGAATTTAGAAGCCGTATGAATAGCCACCAGGAATCTGGTTCAAGTGGTATGGGCATGGAGAGCTGGAATCCTATCCCCTTTAATATGTTGAATTTCTGACTGCTAACTACGTTTCAGCTGTGGTCCTTGAGGACAGCTCCAGTGAATACAGTATTACTGAGCCCTTTAAAAGAAAAAAAAAAAAGCCATGTAGTTTTTAATTACAACTTTGTGCCTGCTAAAGAACAGGAAAATTATAGCTATGTCTCGCTGGCAAATAGGGCATTGAAGACGTTAAGGGGGTTAGTGTTTAATACCTGAAGTTACATGATAGCTAATGAAACCTAGTATTTAACGATATCAAAAATGTCTAAAACTCTGGTCAAGATTAGGCAAAATGTAACTTAATGTATGTCACTCATTAGAGAAAAGAGACTGCGAGCTGATTCAATTAACGTATGGTAAAGTACAATCTGTTTTGAGCAGAGCTTTCAAAAACATCAGAGCGAGCTAGCTAACTTTCTAAAAACATCCTTTTAAATTATAGAGTAGAAAAAGACCAGCTTTCTCAACTCCAAGAGCTATCTCATCCTACTTCCTTGCTTGCTTGCTTCTCTTTTTTAACCATGTCTTTCTCCAGACATATTTCTTCTAATCTTTCTCTTAATAGTGCCTTAAAACAGACACAGTTTGTAGCAGCAAAAGTCAATTTGCTGTGTACTTTGCCTTAGGTCACCAGATTAAATAAGCAATACTAACAAAAGGCTCCTAAGCCATTTGAATTATATCTGGGTAGGGCTTGTTCCAACTAACATTAGATCAAAGTACATCCTTCAAGAGCACAGCTCTGCTAGAAGAGTTCTGGAATCTAAACAAGACACTGGGGCTGTGTACATCACTACACTGTCATACGTCATCATTTTTCTCTTTTGATTCCCCTTTCACTTTGCCAAAATTCAATAATCATTAAGATTTAAGTAATCTTTAGTCATTAAGTATTTTTTGTACTGATAGGTTCTTTCTGTGAAGCAGTGAGATCCTCACTTGTCTTTATCTGATGTCCTTGTTAGTGAGATACTTTAAACTTCTGCTATAAACAAGCTAGGATTTTCAAAGATTGATTATTCTGGGTGCTCAAGCACACGCACCCAGAGCATCCTTCAGGAGCAGGTGAAGAAACAGCCGAAAATTAAGGACCTCAAGTCAGGTTTCACCAGAGGCAAACAGGATCACAGCCACTACTGAACATTTTTGGCTATAATCTGCTTAGTTGAATGAGCTTGGACTGTGATGGTGAAATTAAAACCAATCAAATGTTGTCAGCAGATTCAGGTGTGATAACAACAACCCTCCCACAGAACCATTCCACCTGCCCAACAGCTCCATGTCTGGATTCTTGCACATTGCAAGGAATCAGTACATGGAAATCAGTGGGGATTTGGAAGGTAATTGTTGCCTAGTACGTTTACCTTTTGGGAAAGTATGGAAGGAGCACACATAGGGTGCTCAAATAGGGTATTCAAATCGGGTATGGATGAAGTGGGGTTTCTGCTTCCTTACTCCTATAGGTAGCGAGGGCTAAAAGTGGAAGAGGAGGGCGGGCTGTTTGCTTTCAGCACACGCCCTGGGCGGGTTGGCAATAAACACGGAAGTTTCTGCAGAAACTTTTAAGGACACTATAGTGTGGAAGTTAGCAGTAAATTCAGTGGTAGAATTGGAAACCAGAGAATTCCGAGTCCCCCTCCCTTTTTCTCGTTCAGAGCCAGGGACATGCCTGGAAACGCAGCCCTAGGGTGCGGGGCGAGGGGAGGAGGGTGGGATATCTGCACACTCTGCTTTGTGTGGTGGTTTATTTGATTTCCTGTGGCATTTCCTGAGAAGACCTGCTGAGTCTCACGCAAAAACCTGAAAGATGGGGTGATAAAATACGATAGGTGCAATGTTGATCTCTCTTAAATATCCACATTTATGTTATTAATGTTCTGTAGGAATTTAGTTTTGAAAGAACGTGCTTCATAACTCAACTAAGCATTCAGGAAAAAGGGGAGAAACTGAATTTTAGACTTAATCCCCATGTTTCTATCCATTAAAACAAATTATTAAGTTTGTGGGATCCAGTCTTACCATCACAGAATGAACCAAGTTCTGCTATGTATTAAGTATAAACAATAACATTCAGAAACAGTTGTTTGGACTGAAGATGAATTTAGAAAACCTATTAAATATTTCATTTGGAGATTTATTTGCATATAATATGCAGTGCTTTCTGCTGTAAGGAGGCAGGGAGTCTGCAGTCTGCCCAAAGATATAATAAACTTGTTTAAAATAGATGTAGAATTATTTCAACAGTATATTATTAAGACACTGGAAAGCAGGTTTTAATAGTGTAGTAACCTTGTCTTGTTTAGAGTCTTGCCTCATAACACTTTATAAAATAATGTTCTGCCATGACATATTACAATTAAATTGTATAATTAATGTTCTGTATCTCAACTATTGGCTAAATATACTTTGAGCGTTCTTTATATTACACACCTGTATTTCCTTATTGTTAAAAGTACCTTGTGTGATAAATCAGTAATCCATAATGCTCCCAATAGTGCATATAGGAGCCTACAGGAGACTCAGAAACCAGGCAGAAG